CTAATGACTGTCTAGGGCAGACAGTCTATCATATACGTGATTTAATTAATGATTATCAAGGGAAGACAGTCTATCATATAAGTGATTTAACTAATGACTATCTAGGGCAGACAGTCTATCACATAAGTGATTTAACTAATGACTATCTAGGGCAGACAGTCTATCACATAAGTGATTTAACTAATGACTATCAATGCCAGAAAGTCTATCATATAAGTGATTTAACTAATGACTATCTAGGGCAGACAGTCTATCACATAAGTAATTTAACTAATGACTATCAAGGGAAGACAGTCTATCACATAAGTAATTTAACTAATGATTATCAAGGGCAGACAGTCTATCACATAAGTAATTTAACTAATGACTATCAAGGGAAGACAGTCTATCATATAAGTGATTTAACTAATGACTATCAAGGGAAGACAGTCTATCATATAAGTGATTTAACTAATGACTAGGAATTGCATTGCGTGCTACCAAAATTGCTTCACATAGTCACATAATATAAGAAAAAAATCATCTGCATTATCTTCCTGGTTCTTTCTTTAGTTAATGCTTTTAGTCACAGAGTGCAGCAAATAAAATGTTATAGTATTTAAAAACGTGTTACAATTGCTATTCCTCAAGAAAGGACTTCATTCCTAATTGAAAGCCATTCAGCTTGATGCTTGATGACATGCATTTGATCATATCGTACAGCTCGATGTGACGTGTAATAGGCTTCTGTGCTCAGTTTCTAAAACAAGACATTGTTCTACGGGTAGCTTCGGCTCTACTGCATAGTATAAGTCTTATTCATGACGATCTACACACTTTACCGTGACAACAAATACCACGTGATACACAAACTCATAATACCTAATTTGGATTTGGAAACAAACGAATAGTTTTACCACGTTACCGTGTGCTTATTATTATAACAACGACTTTTAAAGATACCCATTCACATTTAAATTTGGTACGCATTTTATGAACACGTTGCCATTCTCAATTGGTACACATTTTATGAACAATTTCCCATTCTCAATTGGTATACTTTTTATGGAAGAAATTGTATAAATGTACGCAAAAAAGTAATGCTTTACTTTAAAATTTGTGAAGATTTCAAATATTAGTGAGTGAAATAAATCTTATTGAGTTGGCAATACTGGATAGTGTGGCGAAATGGAGCCGACATAAACATTTCCATTTACTCACCCCGACCTACTTAGAACACCCCCTCCGCCCCTTTTTTTTCAAGGCCATGGCGAGTTATTTCCCCCGATCACTGTCTACATCACATGAAAAGTCAATTAACTGTTAAGTAATCAAGGACTGAACCAAACAAAGAGAATAGTCTAGACAATGTCTCGTTTTGGGTGAGCACCAAATCATTACGTCATTGGACTCGGATATCACATTGTAGTGATTGTCCAATCAGCAATTAGAATAGAATCAATATGAAAGCCGTAGCATAACTAAAAGTTGTCTTTTCGTGATCGACTCTTAATTCAGTAGCCAACTTAGAGCACCGTCAAGCCGGCTTTTTCTAGACCTAGTGAGTTCCTGGTTGCTAGATCGCCGTACTATTGCAGTACAGTCAACCGCATCTAAGCAGCTGAATTGAGGAATCGGTGTACTGAGGCCTGAGTCTACGAACCCCGCCCAGGAGCCACCTCCGGAAGATCAATTCATCGCCTGCAACCAAAGGACCGCGTGCTGATGGACTTTACTCCCCAAGAGAAGTCTTACATACACCCACCACAGCGTACTGGGGAAGAGTAATCCCAGAAGGTAATGTTTTGACTTGTATCATCCACCTGCGTCAACGCCCTGAAAAGCCACGAGGTAAAGAATTAAAGAATTCACTTCCACTCTTGAAGTAATTCTACCGCAACGCATTGCTGTTCGTCCCCTTGCGTGAACGCCCCAAGAAGCAACGAAGGATAGGACCCGAGAATCCACTTCTACGTTGAAGTGATATCATTATTATGCAAGATCTAACCAGATCACCGGAGCTGCTCATAGTTTACCGCTCTGTCAGCCCACTTACGTGATCGCCCTGAAAAGTCACGGAGTGAAGATTCGAAGGAGCCACCTTCACATACTACTAGTGACTGATCAAGTCAGATGTTCAAGTTAAATGTTCAAGCCAGATGATCAGCACGACTGACTGATAAGTTAAGTTTGAAAGGACTGAGTTTATACAATTGAGATACAAAGCAGAAGAACCTTTATGATGACACATAGGCTTTACGTGAGGTCATTGTTCATATTAGACCAGAGCTTAGATAGATTACAAATGAAAGTTGTTTTGAATATGATTCACTATTATGCCATATACAACACATATATAAACATATATAAATAGATTAGTATTTTCATTTACTAAATGGTGTTATGAAGTATTTGGTAGTTAAGGTAAAAATGAGTATGTTATTATGTCCCGTGGTGTGTGACATCGACATAACCTCATACCCCTAGACACAAGCAGGTGTGACACTCATCAGAGAGTTGTTCTTGGACCCCTAATTTAAAAGACTTTTCACCACAGATAGTATTTTTATTTCTAAAACCGACACAATATTTTAATATGAATAATGAACGCTTTTTTGTGTCAAGTGTGTTCAAGATTTTTTTATTTACACAGAACCCTTAATTTATAAATTTATTTCTAGCTCTTATATAAAAGCGAATGTGTGCCCCTCGGCACCGAAAGAAATCTAATGGTGTTCAGAGTTCAACTTCCTGCAGAGATATAAAGCTTTTCAAAACGTAACTTTGTTTAACTTCGACTTTTACGATGAGAACTCAAAATATTGTAAACCTCATTTCAATGTACAGTAGAAATTGCAATATATATATATATATATATATATATATATATATAATAAATAAAATGAAATATATATATTTATTTATCATAGTGCGTAATCGGGTTAACGGAAATTTGTTTAAAAGAAATTTCGTCCACGTAAAGTTGATCGACGGAAATTTGATCGAACGGAAATTTGGTCGAATCTTTCTTTCAGTTCACACGTTAAAATTTTTGTCAAATTTCTTGTTCAACGCACCATATTATATTTATGTATTAAAACAAAATAATGGGTTCAAAAAGAAATTTGACGCAAAATTTTAACGTGTGAACTGTAAAAAATTGATTCGACCAAATTTCCTAGGAACAATTTTCCGTCGACGAAATTTCTTTCAAAAAAATGTCCGTATACAGTGTAATTGCCTCGATCTACATTCTGATATCTGACATGATTGTACGAGAAAAGAAGTAAGTGACGACACTACTTTAAAAAACAACAACATATTTTATAAAACACAAATAATTTCAATTGATTCTAATGTAAAACAAAACACAAGAGAAGGCAGAAGGGACATTACTCATAAAATATGTTCACTGGCAACAACAGTTATGTTTTCTTTTTTTTTCTACCTCTGGATATCATTAAAGATTGTGGGAACGTTTTTGGTTTCCTATTACGATGGTAGTGAAGATGTCTCATTCGAAAATTGATTTTAAAAAATCAAATCCAAAATTTAGCACTTAAAAATGTTGACATATGCGGGGCCGCCCCTACGGTTTCTGGCGCCCCAGGCAAGATTAATTTTGGCTCCCCTTTAAAGTATCTTCATACACATTTTTGCAAGGGAAAGCTAGGGGTTGTATTTTGAGTTTTTATTTTTTAAACAAAGCATATAGTTAAAGGAAGCATATGTATATATTGACACCCGAGGAACAATCGAAGGATACTTTCTGATGGAAACCCAAGACCCACAGCCAATAGGCACTCTCTACAACCACCACATTCAGTATCTTGCATATGCTGATTACACATCACTGTTAGGGAATAGGAGTAAAGAAATATCAAAATTCTTAGTTGAATTAGAAGAAGCATCACCACACGCAGGACTGGAAGTAAACAACAACAAAAGCAACAACAAGAAGAACAAACTACATATCTATGTAGGATCAAACAGATGAAACCATCAACATCAGCAAGCACACTTCTAAGAAAGTAAATCCATTCAAATAACTAGGATCTTTATTCGATGAAAGAAATGAATTACTGACAGAAATAAAGAAAGAATACCAACCGGAAACAGGGCATACTTCAGTAGTCAAAAAATACTAAAAAGTAAAAACATTACGAAAGGAACAAAGAAAACTATATATAAAACTGTAATCAGACCAGTTGTAGCATACGCAAGTGAAGCTTGGACCCTAACAAAAAAGTCAGAAGACATATTAAACACAGAAGAGAGAAATTTTCTCCGGAAAATATATGGACCAACCAAGGATGAATATGGATGGAGAATACGAACCCACCAGGAATTGCATTATCTATATAGATAAATTGTAGTTCAAGGTCACGAAAAGGGGTAGGGTAAGCCTAACTTTTAACAATTTAAAAAAACAAGACATCTTAAGTATTTCTCCAGCGTAGAAATCTGCCGCAAATGAACTACTTTAGTGACGATAATGATTTAATTAGTGATCATTTAGACTTTGTAATTTCAGGTCATTTTTAAAGATGTAAACCTGCACAGTGAAGGGGATTGTAAAAAAAAAAGTAATGGTAGAAGGATCATTGACCCAGATCTCCATGGGGCTATGATGCCCCCCTCCCCACAGTATCATCTCGTTGTGACGTAGACGTATGTCATATTAACATCACAGGGAGATTTTTCAGTCAAGGGAAGTAGGAGAACATAGCATGTAACCAGGGGCGTATCTAGGGTTAGTGCCGCTTGGGCAGACTAATTATTTTGACTCACCTCCCTTCCCAAAAAAAAACCATGAAAAGCTCTACATTAGGCCAAAAATTCCTCCCTTCAATACATAGAAAAAATACCAACGGTGGCTAAGCACCCCTTCGCACCCCCTTGCTACGCCAGTGCAGGTAACTATGTGTAACAACACAACACCGCCTAGATTTTCGGTCCACATAAATGCTCAAAACACACAGTCCTGATTAGCTTATCTCCGCTTATCAGCAGACGCCAATGTGGGCAAAACTGTTGTGCAATCTATTGCAGTATTTAGGTATCTCTTGGAAAGCCCTGAAGTCTTGATCAGACCACTGGATTGCGTGGACAATGAGTGACCTAGAATATGATGGTCAAATCAAGAAGAAATGTCTGCCTACTCTCCCTCCGTGTAAAGTCTGTGGGGAGCACGCGTCAGGGTTTCATTATGGAGTGAACTCTTGTGGTGCTTGCAAAGTAAGTTGGGTTCGTTTTGTTGGGTTCGTAACTTTTGTTGAGTTCGTAAGTTTTGTTGAATTCGTAACTTTTGTTGAGTTCGTAAGTTTTGTTGAATTCGTAAGTTTTGTTGGGTTCGTTACTTTTGTTGAATTCGTAAGTTTTGTTGGGTTCGTTACTTTTGTTGAATTCGTAAGTTTTGTTGGGTTCGTTACTTTTGTTGAATTCGTAAGTTTTGTTGGGTTCGTTACTTTTGTTGAATTCGTAAGTTTTGTTGGGTTCGTTACTTTTGTTGAATTCGTAAGTTTTGTTGGGTTCGTTACTTTTGTTGAATTCGTAAGTTTTGTTGGGTTCGTAAGTTTTGTTGGTTTCGTAAGTTGTGTTGGGTTCGTAAGTTTTGTTGGTTTCGTAAGTTGTGTTGGGTTTCTAAGTTTTGTTGGGTTCGTAAGTTTTGTTGGGTTCGTCACTTTTGTTGGGTTCGTAAGTTTTTTTGGGTTCGTAAGTTTTGTTGGGTTCGTAAGTTTTGTTGGGTTCGTAAGTTTTGTTGGGTTCGTAAGTTTTGTTGGGCTCGTCACTTTTGTTGGGTTCGTAAGTTTTGTTGGGTTCCTTTGTTCGTAGCGTTCCTTTATTTCGTAGGGTACTTTTGTTTCGTAGGGTTCGTTAGCTTCGTTAGGTTGGGTTCGTTACTTTTGTTGGGGTGCTCGTTAGTTTAGTTGGGTACTTCATTTTTGTTTACGAACTCATTTTTAAAATAAATGTCTGATCGTTGAGTCGGTTTCCAGTAACACGTCATGAATGTCTTGTGAACGGGGGATGTTCTACGAAATGTTGCTTGTGCTTGCAGGGCTTCTTCCTGAGAAGTTTGGCCAGGACGGAGCCCTACACCTGTTTGACCGGGGGACAGTGTCAAGTGGGGCCTGAAGTCAAACGACGGAAAACTTGCCAAAAATGTCGGTTCGACAAGTGTCTCCGTCTTGGAATGTCCAAAAATGGTAAATGATATTTCCTCTAATCATTGAACTGTGAACATAATTGGAATCGTTTGTCCTTTTAAAAAAAAAAGTATTTTATTTTAAAACTGAAATTACTTTCAGCCATCAAAATAGGAAGATACACCTATTCCAAGCGTACCCAGGATACACTGGAGCTCAAACAACTAAAACATGAGACATTGGCCCAAGAAGGTAAGAACCTTGCGGTGAATAATACACACACGTTTCATATTTAAACATAAAATCTCAATTTCGTCAGTTCTATATTTAGCTTGACATGTGTGAAGACTTACAAAATATTATTTTTAAAAAAAACAACGTAATAGCGAATAACGCGTTATTACTTTTATTTATCTTCTAGAGGAAAGCAGTGGCTCAGAATGTGAGAGCTCTCTCCAGAAAGGCTCTCCTGAATCGGATGAACACTTGCAGTCCATACAACCTGAGTTACCCCGACTTCACCTGCTCCAGGAACGATTAAATAGTGGCACTTCCGGGAACACGATATCCTCAGAACCAACAAGATTTTCATGTAAACATTCGACTAGCTATTGGCCCAACTCTATTCTGGAAAACGAAAGTGGCTCGACAGATAGTGAAAGTCACGATACAACAGAGACTGGGTCTAGATTTGAACTAGTACCTGCGACAAAGTCACGTGTTTTGGAGTTACACTTTAACAAGAACGTGGCCATCGAAAAGACATTTTTAAAAAGCACATACGGCAATTTTTCATATTCCCCAAAGTTCAACCAACCCAAAAAGCTTGAATTACGTTATCTTGGTGGAGCAGGGGAGGATTTTCACCAACGGAACGAGTGGGACGCTGATGTAAGGGCGCTATCGATCCCCTCCGATGACCTGAAAGAGAAAGCGTTATCGTGTGAACTTTTGAATGAACATCTGGAAATCGATGAATGGGAAGATAAAGAAGAAGAAGAAGATGAAGAAATATGTGAGCACACCAGAGATGTGTTGCCTTGGTCGTCCGAGTTCACCGAGCATCAACTCCACGAGTGGATTCAGGCGCTGCTCAACTACCACAACACCAACGTCTTTGACAACAACTCCTACGACAAGGCGAAGCTGAAGGAAAGAACAGATTTGGTTTATGTAAGTCATGTCCCTTTTTATTATATGCACTTGGATAGTTCTGCTGTGGGTAACACTGTCTTTTAAAAAAAAAACATTTAGACACGCAGTAAATGAGACCAGAAGTCAGATAACCAATCGAGGAAGGGCTTTTTTTTTTTAATTAGACCACTATACACATAAAAAAATATTTTATAAAAGTAGTAAATTTAAGTTATGTAACATAATTAGAGTGTTAAACAGATCACTCATACGACTTTTATTGATTCATTTGTCTAACATACACCCGATCTTTTAGACTGCCATTCACGCAATCATTTCAAGGGAGATAAACTTAGACTGCTATTCACGCAATCATTTCAAGGGAGATAAACGTATTTAAAAGATACTACAAACAATTATTATTCAAAGACTAACTTGATAAATAACATCATGATACATCTCAAAATTAGACTAACACGTGTAATCAATTAGACCAAATCTTGTAATCAGTTAGACTAGCACTTGAAATCACTGAGACCAACACGTGTAATCAATTAGACCAAATCTTGTAATCAGTTAGACTAGCACTTGAAATCACTGAGACCAATAATAATAATAATAATAATAAAGTTCATTTCAAAAACACGCTTCATCCCCAAAGGCTCGAAGCGCGGTACAAAGTCAACAAAAAATATCTATAATTCACCACATTTAAAACAAACGCAACACTACAAAAACTAATTACAAGCATACAATATCAAAGTCTTTCTAGCCATTTCAACCCGGAGCAACACAGCAACACAAGGAAAATAAGGTAGACAATCATCCCAGAAGGTATTTGCGAAATAGATGTGTCTTCAGATCTGTTTTAAAGGACTCCAGTGTCTGGTTGTTTCTAAGATCGACAGGAAGGGCGTTCCAAATTGTTGGACCAGCAAATGCGAAAGTGCGCTTTCCGTAAGTCTCAAGGCAAACACGTGGTGTCGAGAGTTTGCCACTATCGGATGAGCGGAGCTCTCTAGTGGGTACATAAGGCGTCAGCAGCTCTTTCAGATAGGACGGCGCCAGGTCATGTAAGCAGCGGTAGCACAAAGTTGCGATTTTGTACTCCATGCGAGCACGCACTGGCAGCCAGTGCAGCTCTCTCAGAAGTGTTTTTGCATGGTCAAACTTGCGTTTGCGGAGAACAATGCGAGCCGCATTATTCTGTGCTATTTGAACTTTATCCAGGAGCGTAGCTGGAAGACCCACCATAAGAGCATTGCAATAGTCCATGCGTGATAGCACAAATGCAGACATCAGCCTCTTTGTTGCATCAATTGTTAGGAAGGGCCTGATGTGACTAATCCTGCGCAGCTCTAGAAAAATCGCCTTGCATAGCATGTTAATATGACTTTCAAAAGTTAGTCTTCCATCTAGGTAGACACCCAGGTACCGCACTGTTTGAGCTAACTCAATACGCACACCTGAGAGAGTAATGGATGTAGTGTTATTTGCAGATTTCTGCTTCTGAGCGGTCGCGATGGGGAGCAGCTCAGTCTTATCATCATTTAATTTGAGCTTGTTTATGGTCATCCAGTGCTTAACCGACTCCATTGTCTTCTGTGTCATACTGAGCAGCTGAGGGAACTGAGAAGGGATCACGGATTGATGAAGTTGTGTATCGTCCGCGTACATGTGATACAACATGTCAAACTGCCTGATCTCTGCGCTCAGGGGCTGAATGTACATCGTGAAGAGCACCGGGCCTAGGACCGAGCCCTGGGGTACTCCGAATTCAATATTAGATTTCTTCGAAGTCAAGCCGTTTGAAATAACAGACTGCACACGATTAGTCAGATATGATCGGAACCAACACAGGACGGTATCAGTGAGACCGAACGTTTGTTGCAAACGCTGGAGCAGTATGCCGTGGTCGAGCGTATCGAAAGCTGCCGATAAATCGAGTAAAGACAAAATCGATACCCTGCCCTCATCACAAGACGACAGAAGGTGTAATCAATTAGACCAAATCTTGTAATCAGTTAGACTAGCACTTGAAATCACTGAGACTAACACGTGTAATCAATTAGACCAAATCTTGTAATCAGTTAGACTAGCACTTGAAATCACTGAGACCAACACGTGTAATCAATTAGACCAAATCTTGTAATCAGTTAGACTAGCACTTGAAATCACTGAGACCAACGCGTGTGATCAATTAGACCAAATCTTGTAATCAGACTAGCACTTGAAATCACTGAGACCAACACGTGTAATCAATTCGACCAGCACGTGTAATCGATTCGACTAATAAACTAAACCTCTCCAGAACGAGCACCGACTCCAAGAGACCACATTTGGCCAACTCAAGGCCTTGGACCGGGAGCTTTACTTTGAGATCTATAAATCTACAGGCCTGGACGTGGATGGCAGGAGGACGTTACTCTCCAGTTTCCTTCTTGGGTAAGCACTCACCTTGGTGTTGTTTAACTGTAGAACAATACTTTCTGTTGAGTCTTAAGCAGTGGCGTAGAGAGGGGTGGTCCACCGTGGCAGGAAAATGGTTTTTCTTTAAATGGTTGGGAGGGCATTTTCAGCCAATGGCAGAGGGTTTTTTCTCTAAAGGAGGAGGCGACAATCGTGTCCCATCATTGGGCTGCACCTACCCTAGCTACGCCACTGTACTTATGGAAATGGACTCAACGATTACTTTGTTCAACTGAGTATATTTTAAATTGAATGATTCACTGATAGGCAGACCATAGGATAGGCTCAGAATAGTGTTCGTAATTTTGCAAACTCACAGTCAGTTAGAGAGTATACGAGTACTTGTACGAACTCATAGTCCGTTAGAGAGTATACGAGTACTTGTACGAACTCATAGTCAGTTAGAGAGTATACGAGTACTTGTACGAACTCATAGTCAGTTAGAGAGTATACGAGTACTTGTACGAACTCATAGTCAGTTAGAGAGTATACGAGTACTTGTAGAGTATACGAGTACTTTTACGAACTCACAGTCAGTTAGAGAGTATACGAGTACTTGTACGAACTCATAGTCAGTTAGAGAGTATACGAGTACTTGTACGAACTCATAGTCAGTTAGAGAGTATACGAGTATTTGTACGAACTCATAGTCAGTTAGAGAGTATACGAGTACTTGTCCGAACTCAGTCAGTTAGAGAGTATACGAGTACTTGTACGAACTCACAGTCAGTTAGAGAGTATACGAGTACTTGTACGAACTCACAGTCAGTTAGAGAGTATACGAGTACTTGTACGAACTCACAGTCAGTTAGAGAGTATATGATATCAATGACAAAGTTGCAAAATGGGACAACAAAAGATGTTTACCTTTTTTTTTAAAATATATCTACATAAACGTTAAAACTGTCCAAGGAAGATACATCAAATGTTTCTATTCCATACGTAGAAATTGATATTTTTTTTTAAAAAAGCCTATATCGAAGTTCAAAAGTTCAAAGTTGACACAAAAAGGCTTTAAAGGGCTAACACATGGGGCAAGGGTGGGCGGGCTAGGGTGGGGCAGTGTTGGTATGTTTGTACTTAAGCATAAAGTTTAAGGTAACCCTAAAGTGAAATGCTGTGTAAAAAGTTACGAATGGAAGGGATAAAACTTTGTAGAAAAATATTTTAAAAAATGACACTTATTGCCCTTGAGTTACATGATTGTAAGTCTTTTTTTTTTACTTGCGCATTCGAAGCTGCTTAATTTTATTTAATAAAACCCAAGAGTTCATTACCACAAATTATCAGCAGAATGTTTTTAGATGATTGCAGTGTTATATATATTCAACCATAAAGTATCAAATTGATCACATTGATTTTGTTCTGAAGCATCCACAATGAGATATCTACTGTTATCAAGTTCTTCAAGCAGATCCCAGGCTTTCGGGAACTTCCGATGAGTGACCAAATTCTTCTGGTCAAAGGTAAGCAGACATTTTGTTAATAAAAAAATGTATAGTCCTCTTTAAAAGTATTTGTGTCATTTATAAATAAGTAGATAATAGTAAAATGGATGGAAAAGTAAACATCTCTAACGAAGTTAAAGTTTTTGGTATAAATCTTTTATATGCATTTTGTATTATTTTATTTTAAAGTAATAGTCAAATACCCCACTCGCTTTTAAACCTCAGATTTATTTCACCAACTATTTCAGGAAAACAAAATAAAATCTTACGCACCAAACGCGATATATTGTTTTAAAGAATCTCCTTTAGCGCAGTTATCGGGAATATTATTTCATGAAATCATAATCTCTACATTTTAACTTTAAAAAACAGTAAAAACTGATTTATTTATTTTTATTTATTTATTTTTTTTTTGGGGGGGGGGGGTGGTGGGTAGGACTGAACAATTGAAAGAATGTGTTACCGTTGGCAACATGTATATGTGCAAAATTTCAGCTTCTTTAAAAAACAGTAAAAACTGATTTATTTATTTTTATTTATTTATTTTTTTTTTGGGGGGGGGGGGTGGGGGGTAGGACTGAACAATTGAAAGAATGTGTTACCGTTGGCAACATGTATATGTGCAAAATTTCAGCTCGATAGGGAGACGGTAAGTGGGTCAATTAACCGACCGAAGATTGTGCCACCCACCAAGAAACACACGAACAAAACCGAAGTTAATATAATGGAAATAAACAGGATATTTTTTTTCTTACAATTTATAAAACTCCTTGCTAATATTTTAATCTATTTTATTTCTTTTACTTTAAATATTGACGATTGAAACACGAACAATGGTGTTATAATTGCTTAGTCGAACAATGTCCTTTAACTAGGACAGAATACGGGTCTCAAACGGGGCAGTGCGAGTCATCTCTACTGAATGTTCACAATACGTAGATGAAGCTCCATGGAGGTGAACTTCCAACTGAATACCTAGGTGAAACGTGACGGTGTGAATTCTATTTTCTACAGGGTGTTCTCATGAGTATCAGATTCTCAGTCTATACCGGGGCTGGGACAATAAGACCCGGTGCATGACATTCTCTCCCTTGGGGGAAACACTCACCGAGCAAGATCTAAGGGTAGGTACAAATAATGGTTCAATTGTTCAACCGGAATATCATGTCCACTACATCCTTCATTACCTTACATATAGCCCCACTTCTCTCATGTACTCTCAATACCGTTATTACAAATAACTCCCTACCTTACTCTCTCTCCTTCCTTCCTATCTCTCTCTCTCTCTCTCTCTCTCTCTCTCTCTCTCTCTTTCTCTATCTCTATCACTATATATCTATCTCTCTTTCTCTCGCCATCTCTCACTTTTAATTTTCACCACTCTACACAAATCACGACCATGAACCATCACTGCGAGCATCCATCATAATAACTCAGTAATTTATCCCCATCACATCCTCATCCTTAACGATTATTCCTCATCCCTCTCTACCATTTCCATCAAACCATCAACATTCTTTATTATAGATCAGCTACTAAATACCATCAAAATGCATTCGACACTCTAACAATCCGTATGTCATGTGTTCCACATCTCGACTTCCTTTCAGAAAGTCTTCCCCGATGAGGCTCTGTCTGCTCACATTGACATGGCCGTGGCCTTGCAAAAGTTGGACCTGACCGTGGAGCAGATCATCATTCTGAAAGCAATCGTGGCCACTGCACCAGGTGAGTCAGTTTAGTCGATAACTTCTTCATTTTGTTTTTTATTTAGCTGGATGCGAAGTTGTTGTTCTTATTGGCAAAAGCTCGCAAGCCAAGTAAGACACAAGTAATACAAAAGTAAGACAAAAGTAAGACAAAAGTAAGAAACAAGTAAGACACAGGTAAGACAAATGTTTGGGGAGACACGGTAACTCTTGGTTAAATAACATCAATGACCAAAGTCATAAACAAGGACAGTTTATTGGCGTACAGGGCCAGACTAGGATTAGCTGAGGCCTTAACCTATGCACATTTCAGCGGTCCTCTACCGTTTTAAGTGACATCAGAGGGTCAAAGTAAAAATTTCAAATCATATGACCTTTTACATCTAGTTTAGTGATGCGCACAGCGGATACTTTTTGTGTCAACTCTTTGAAAACCATTAAATAATGCACAAAATATAGTGTAATACAACGTAAAATAATGCACAAAATATAGTGTAATACAACGTAAAATAATGCACAATATATAGTGTAATACAACGTTAATTAATGCACAAAATATAGTGTAATACAACATTAATTAATGCACACAATATAGTGAAATACAACGTTAAATAATGCACAAAATATAGTGTAATACAACGTTAATTAATGCACAAAATATAGTGTAATACAACGTTAATTAATGCACAAAATATAGTGTAATACAACGTTAAATAATGCACAAAATATAGTGAAATACAACGTTAAATAATGCACAAAATATAGTGTAATACAACGTTAATTAATGCACAAAATATAGTGTAATACAACGTTAATTAATGCACAAAATATAGTGTAATACAACGTTAATTAATGCACAAAATATAGTGTAATACAACGTTAATTAATGCACAAAATATAGTGTAATACAACGTTAAATAATGCACAAAATATAGTGTAATACAACGTTAATTAATGCACAAAATATAGTGTAATACAACGTTAATTAATGCACAAAATATAGTGAAATACAACTTTAAATAATGCACAAAATATAGTGAAATACAACTTTAAATAATGCACAAAATATAGTGTAATACAACGTTAATTAATGCACAAAATATAGTGAAATACAACGTAAAATAATGCACAAAATATAGTGTAATACAACGTTAATTAATGCACAAAATATAGTGTAATACAACGTTAATTAATGCACAAAATATAGTGTAATACAACGTTAATTAATGCACAAAATATAGTGTAATACAACATTAATTAATGCACAACAGTGACACACACAGTAACATGAAACAGTTACACCGCACAGTGACATCAAACAGTGACACCGCACAGTGACACCGGACAGTAACATCAAACAGTGACACCGCACAGTGACACCACACAGTAACATCAAACAGTGACACCGCACAGCAACACCACACAGTAACATCAAACAGTGACATCAAAAAAGACACCGCAAAGTGACACCACACAGCAACATCAAACAGGGACACCACATAGTGTCACCACACAATAACATCAAGCAGGGACACCACACTGTTTCTTGTTGTTCATAAGAACACGTTTAGCGTTCCAACAATTCTTTTTCAGACATCAGTATCACACTTTTCAGTGCAGCAGAGAAAAAAAGTTGATGTTGCTAACTGTTGCTTTAACAGTCTTGTTAATTCTGTTACAGCAGTCAGCATTATTTCAATAATAAGACAGTTCGTTTATAAAAATTAAAATAATTGAAGCCATGCCAGTCTTCTGACAATTTAATTTTCAGCATTGTATTTAGTTGTTTTTTTAATCTATATTTAAAACTTATTTTCTCGTTAACCGATTTTGTGTTTATCTATACCATTTTTATAATTTTATTTGACATTCACTCTATTTTTTAGATAGTTATTACTTACTTAATTTTTAAACTATTTTTAGAAAAACGATGTAAAACTTAAAAAAAATTTGGATACCTAAGATCACATCCCACCCACTTTATCACAGATACCTAAGATCACATCCCACCCACTTTATCACAGATACCTTTGATCAGCTCGATCAAGGTGAATTCTTTCTCTTAAAGTTAGGACAGAAAGATATAACAAATTATTTTAATCCCCAGTCTGTATGAATTTACCAGAGTGCTCCCCAAGCGGTTACCATATCTAAATGATCACTAATGTAGTCATTATTGTCACTAAAGATATATATTTTGGGCAGTTTTTCTAGGCTAAAGAAATAGATGTCTTGTACTTACTGTTTTGTAAAATGTTATAATTTTTTAAAATATGTATTTATTGATGGCCTGAAAATTAAACCGTACAATGTCATAAAAAAAACATTTCCTTTTACACGGATAAGCAAAGAATCCCATCTCATCTTTTCTTAATGTGTGTTGACCTTTCATTCATGTGTGTTGACCTCTCATTAATGTCTGTAGACCTTTCATTAATGTGTGTGGACCTTTCATTAATGTGTGTTGACCTTTTATTAATGTGTGTGGACCATTCATTAATGTGTGTTGACCTCTCATTAATGTGTGTTGACCTTTCATTAATGTGTGTTGGCCTTTCATTAATGTGTGTGGACCTTTCATTAATGTGTGTTGACCTTTCATTAATGTGTGTTGACCTTTCATTTATGTGTGTGGACCTTTCATTAATGTGTGTGGACCTTTCATTAATGTGTGTGGACCTTTCATTAATGTGTGTGGACCTTTCATTAATGTGTGTGGACCTTTCATTCATGTGTGTTGACCTTTCATTCTGGCAGATCGTGATGAGCTGGCATCCGAGGAACTCGTGGCCGCCATCCATTGGAAGCTGGTCAACTGTCTACTGTTGCTACTGTGGAAGCAGGGTCGGCACCCACTCCAAAAGTTTGGTCAAATCATGTCTGTACTGACCGAGATGAGAAAATACAGCGTCTTCATTCGGTCATCCTACACGAACATTCGGTCAGACGTGGAGGAGCTGACCGGAAGAGTCAACCTACCGTTTATTTATGAACTTTTCTTTTAATGTGTTCATTTCGCAGCATTCATTGTGACGGGGAGGGGGCGGGGGAGGTGGGAGTAGGGAGGCGTAATGAAGCCTTTTCCCCGGGGTTTGACACTCTAAATTCTAATTCAGTCTTAAAATATAAATTAATCAATTACAAATTGTGAGAAATCAGACCAATCCAGGCCCTTTTCCCCAATTTTACCCCACCCCGTCTGAATCAGTCAATGCTACAGGTAGCAGAAGTCTTTTCTTTAAAAAAACCAACAACATGTCTTTTGTGTCCTGGTAAATGCATGACACGAATTTGTAAGTGTTTCCAAGTGAAATATAGAATGTGACCTCACGTGACATTAACAGACCATCATAAAGCCACGAGACGGTGCGTAGTAATAAAATCTATGACATCGTTGGCTGACATAAAGTATCATAAAAATGACATCATATTCAGTCAAGACTGGTGACATCACGTGACAGTAGAAGGCCGTAACATGACAAGCTGGAGTAGCCGTGATGATGACATCACGTGACCACATCATGTCAATGTTAGCAGTGCATGCCGCAGGCTCTCTATTGAGGACTGCTTCGCTTTATTGTGACATGTAGGTTGTATGAGAGATAAATTAAATGTTTGTTTTTACATTTATTCTTTACTCTTTGCGTGTAAAAATAAATTTCTAAGATTAAATAAATATTTATAATTTCTCCATAAATTTTAATCTTTGAAATATTGTATTAGATGGCTAAAATGTTTAACGCAAACTGTGGTTCGTCATTATATGTGATTAGGTGTTGCTTTATTTTTTGTGACTAGTCTGAAAGGAATGGGAACCACTGGTCCAAGCCAACTATTTTTCTTCCGTTAAGCTAATTACATATTCCGTGCGTTGGGATTAAAGTCTCATCCCAGATCTCTAGCTGAATTTGTTCTTCTATTAATACTGATCCGCGACACGAGATTAAAATCATTTTATTATTATTTATTATTATTTTTTGTTTGTAATCTGAATCTGGCACAGTGATGACCCCAAAGGAAATGAAACAAAAATATTTTTATATAAGTATAATTTAAGTTTAGCTTTAATAATGTATATGAAAATACAAGTAAAAAATCAGCTAATAGCCTTCATCAGTTTAACACGGGGATTCTCAAACTTTTTGTTTGTTCAACGGTCCCCTTTGCTTGTTATTTGAAAGCTAAGATATCCATTAAAATAAATGTCCTATACGTTTTAAGAAAGTACACAGGAACTGACCTCACCGACCCCCTAATATCTTTTCACGGAGCCCAAGGGGTTGATGACCCCTGGTTTGACACAAAGAACACATTATAATTATATTTCACTTTCACTTTTACCTACACAGTCAAACAAACGAAGGGGGAAAAGCCACTCACGAAGAAAATAGTTTTAAAAATCTGGCTATAGCAACGGATAATGCAAATCAATGTGTCTACGCTATAGCAGCTACGTGGCATGTTGTATTGGCTAAATGGCGTAAGGGACAACACTCGGCAAATCAGTTTATTCTTCATCACTATTCATTGCCGTGTACTCTTAGCATAAAGTCACCCATGCAGGAAAAAGGGGGGGGGGGGGGGGGGGGGAGGGAAGGGGTCCGCCCCCCTTTTTTTCTTGACATATTGGTGGCGGCAGTGTTTCAGCCAACTGCTATTTTTCTCGTGAACGTGGGGTGGCAAAACTCTTGGCCCGCCCCGGGCGGCATTAACCCTAGCTACGTCACTGCAGTAGATCCCTTTCTAGAATACTAAACCTTTCGTTGTGATCTTGTTTCCGTACAATGTCCATATAGCAATGTCAGTGTAGCAATGTCAGTGTAGCGATGTCAGTGTAGCAATGTCAGTATAGCAATGTCAGTGTAGCAATGTCCATATAGCTGATCCTGTTAAAAGCTTCCCACTTTCTACCAAACGTCTCCGTCCATACAAGTAGTGTCCTCCTGGGTGGACTCAATGTCTCCGTCCATACAAGTAGTGTCCTCCTGGGTGGACTCAATGTCTCCGTCCATACAAGTAGTGTCCTCCTGGGTGGACTCAATGTCTCCGTCCATACAAGTAGTGTCCTCCTGGGTGGACTCATTGTCTCCGTCCATACAAATAGTGTCCTCCTGGGTGGACTCAATATTTCGCTTACAAAAAAATGTATTAAAAAATATGAGGCCAGTTACGTTTGTACGTCTGTACTCCAAATCCTGAGTAGTACTTTGTTACAACCATTTTCTACAAACACCAAGCTTGTAAGATAAGCTCTTTTAGACTTTCACAGTGTCTCTCAAATTGTACAGAAAAATATCCCCAGATACAAAATTTCAAAAAAAGTTTCGCAGATTGGTCTGAATACTATGTTAATTGACATCTATTGATCTGCCCCCTCTGGATTTGAAATTTATCCGCCAGTCCGTTTAATTTTTTAGAGTGCTTGAAATGTCAATAGGTTTGTAATGTTACTAAACACTGTCTAAAAGAAACAGAAACAACTGAAATAAGGCATTCACGAGAATGCCCCCGTCAAAATCCCCCACCTCTTTCTACTAAAATAACATTAGGTTATAGCTTGAAAACGTGTATAGCACGTTAAATATTAACATAAACGTTATTTTAACAAGTACAAAAACAACCCACACAAGACATTGAGTTCATGTTATTTTGTCTAACACCCGTAGAGAAGTATATAACGGGGAAAGCCACTCAGTCAGTCAACGAGACATTGCACAATGACACAATCAGACAACGAGATATTGTGACAATGAGACAATCAGACAACGAGACATTGCGCAAAGAGACAATCAGACAACGAGATATTGTGACAATGAGACAGTCAGACAACGAGACATTGCGACAATGAGACATTCAGACCACGAGACATAGCGACAATCAGACATCGAGACATTGCGACAATGAGACAATCAGACAACGAGACATTGCGACAATGAGACAGTCAGACAACGAGACATTGCGATAATCAGACAATCAGACATCGAGTCATTGCGACAATGAGACAATCAGACAACGAGACATTGCGACTTTGAGACAGTCAGACAATGACTTGTGTTGATCGGTTTCCTTGTTTTGAGTAATGTTAGAAAAAAAGAGGAAATATTTCAAACTATTTTGTTGATGTGAAAAGGTGTGAAGCATGATTTCTCCTTATAGTAGTGGCTAGCTATACACACAAAATTCTCGCAGTCTTTGTTAGAGTTGTGTAGATCTATTCCTAGACCTGCTCGCCATCTTTCTCTATTCATTTGTTTTCTGCAGAGGTTTTGTGTGTTTACCTTGGACGGTCAACAGTGTTCATGACGTCATACCTGGTGTAGTAGTAAGCATCAAGTCATAGTAATCCCCTGGGGCTTGTGTCATGCACAAGTCACATTCTTGAACATAAAACCCGGGGCAATTTTCATGTTTTGAAAACGGCCAATGGTGGGATCTGAAAGTTTAAAAGGAAGATTTAATTTCATGGTGTGTGTGTGTGTGTGTGTGTGTGTGTGTGTGTGTGTGTGTGTGTGTGTGTGTGTGTGAGTGTGTGTGTGTGTGTGTGTGTACTCTTGTGTGTGTTGGTGTGTGTGTGTGTGTGTGTGTGTGTGTGTGTGTGTGTGTGTGTGTGTGTGTGTGTGTGTGTGAGTGTGTGTGTGTGTGTGTGTGTACTCTAGTGTGTGTCATAATTTAGTTTGAACTTTTTGAAGAGGTACTCCCGTAAATGGAAACGTTCAAGTCTCTGGATTTTACAGAGGAACAAAACCAAGGGAGAAAATAAGCAACCAAGGGAGACCAATAAGCAACCAAGGGAGACAAATAAGCAATCAAGGGAGACAAATAGTCCATATAGATTTAATTAAGAAAACGCATCTTTAAACACACACAAACATACACACACAATCTCACACATTCAAACACACACACTCATTGGGGCTTACATGTAGAATTATTGCAGTGACAAAAAGAACGTTGACATCACAATGTCTATTCCCACTACTCATGCCATCGTGCAAAATGAATCGGCTGTCTTCGGTCTGCCGGGCTGCCCGGCGCCACTCTCTTGTCGGGACCGGTGCGGCACTCTCAACATGTACGTCGATTCGACGGTCCAACAATGCAAGTGTGACGACGTGTGCCTTGGCCACGGGGACTGCTGTCCCGACTACTACAGCGCATGCATCAACGTCACCATCGACAGCACCGTGGCCACCGTGTTCATGGCCATTCTGTCCAGATACACCAGCTTCTCTGAAGTCCTAGAGTTTCACGGCCAGCTCCATTGGACGCGCTTGTCAACCTGCCACTCCAATCGCTACACTTTTCCGACTTTATTCGTAACCAAGTGTGGATCAAGCGATGGTATGCAATCAAAATTTGAACGTTTATATACTCGATTGTATACGTCTAAAATAAGAATACTCAACTATTTCCAGTTTGTTCCGAAAGAAGCATTCAGAGAAAGGTGTGAAAACACAGTTCTGAGGACCGCGACCAGCCCAGGCCAACACCCACTGGACAAGATCCACTGGTTCTCGGGCAAGACTGTATACTACAACATATTCTGCGCCATTTGTAATGGGATAGCCCCGACGAGTCTTCGTCCATGGCTAGAAGGTCTAGATTGTCAACTCAAGAGATCAGCAGAAGACAAGTACCTGTGTGAGATTTTTTTTAGTGATAATTTAACAGTAAGGCCGACGACATTACGTTGGTGTGTGGAAGCGTCCTCCGAAGCCGACAAATCTGCCTTTGTTGACAACATCTTTGGGCAGAAAGAAACTGAACATGGACTTCCGAATGGATCAGGATTTCATGTAACCGAAAAATCTGACCGCGTTTATAACGTTTCTCCTGCTTCAATGCTGTGTGAAAGATATCATTATGGTGTAACGGACAATGAAACGGGAATAACTTACAGCAATCCCCACTGTTGGATGAGTGACAAAAACATGACAGCTCTGGAAACATTTCTTGCAAACATCAGTTACCATTGTCAGGAGGCAACAGGACTTAATGAGAGCCACATGGAGAATTATCGTCTTCATCATTTTTTTAAGGACTATTTCAAATTTGCATCATCTGAGGGTTCTTGCTCAGAAAATGAGATCTACTCCCATATTGACGGCTTATGTTTTCAGCAAAGATGCGCCGCAGGGCGTTCACTAAGAGCGGGACTCTGCGTTCAGACTTACAGCGGTGGTAGAGACAAGGAGGAGCGTGTTGGAGACCCTCATTTCTTTCTCTTTCAAAATGTGTCACCAACGTCTCTTCATTCGCTTCTCTTTCAGGACCGCTTCGGTGATCAGCTTCCGGTGTTCATACGCCTCTTTTTTAAGCACGTGTGCACGTCTGCTTCTAATGGTGGACAAGGAAAGGCTTTTCATAATCCTAACAGAAGCACCGGAAAAGCTTCTCAAAACAACTCAACTTCTGAAGTTGATATTGATCATGAAAACAATACTAATGACAGAGAATTTGATGCATTTGAAACCTTCCATTCCTTACGAGGCAGTGACTGCGAAATTGACCCTGTCCTGGTATTAGAAATGGAAGAGTTTTCTTCTCAATTTTTAGTCGGTCATCGGCATCCGAAGGATTTCGACAACTTTCATCAAATGTTTCGTTTTCTTATTTCTTATTTTGAACGCCCCCTGCTGTCTAATAGCAAGACACTTATCACTGAC